TGTTTGTTTTAGTTACTCTACATTCAAGAACAAATTTTAGTCTCTGTTTTTTTTCCTCTGTTCTTTCTTTCCTCTCTTTTAAATGACTTTTTGCCTTTGTATCCTAAGTGATACCTACCCTACAAATACCTATTGATTCAGCCATCTAGTTACTGTACAGGGTTAGTTATCTGAAGGTCCCCTTGGATAGGCGGATGGTAGGGAGGTGGATGGATGAATGGTTGGATAGATAAGTGGACAAATGAATGGGTAGATGGATGGATGAGTGAATGAATGAGTGGCTGGATGGATAGGTGAATGGGTAAAAGACTATGGAATAGACTTCTGGATCCTTCAGTTGGTTAACCATCTGCCTCATCCTAGGTACCCCAGCCACCTGCCACCATCATTCAGCAGCTACCTCATCAGCCCCTCATTGCACAGATTCCTCCTCCCCAGGCTTTCCCCACTCCTAGATCTGGGAGTATTAAGGAAGGTAAGTATTCCATATTAATAGTGAGTACATGCAATTCTATTTTCAAAGAAAAAAAATTGCAAGTCATTCAGGTTCAACTTTGAGCTACTTGGTTGATGCTATAAATTTACCAAGATGAAAGTAATTTTGATGTTTAACAAATCCTTATGTAAAGGATAGCTCTGAGAGAAATAAGCAATAAGTAGAAGAAAGGGTACTGGGCTAGGAATCAAAATAATTGGGCTCTAAGGAACCTGGGAAGGAGCCTGGGTGGCATAATGGGTTACACTTTGGGTTACTAATCAGAAGGTTAGTGGTTCAAATCCACAAGTTCTTCCATGGGACCAAGAAGAGACTTTGTTTCCATAAAGATTTCCAGCCTTGGAAACACAAAGCGGTGATTCTACTCTATCCTATTGGGTCACTATGGGTTGAAATCAACTCAATGGCAGTGGGGTTGATGGTTCAAACCCACGAGGTCTTCCTCAGAAGAAAGACGAGGCTATCTCCATCCATAAAGATTTGCCACTCATGGGGCTCCTACAAGGGAGAATCGACTCCACAGATGATGGGTTTTCAGAATCCCAACTCACCCACTTACTCAGAGCCAAACTGAACTCACTGCCATTGCCTGGGTTCCAATGCCGAGTGACCCTCTAGGACGGAGTGTCAGTCTGGGGACTGTGGAGAAACAAATCCACAGAAACTCTTGTATAAGAGAGAGTTTTATATAAAGGTAAGTGCACATCAAGAAAACATCCCAACCCGGCGCTGTCCAAGCCCACAAGTCCAACATTAACCCATATGTCTGACACCAATCCACAAAGTCCTCCTCCATCTCACAAAACAGACACAACGATGCCGGCTGCAGGGGGAAAGCTGAATCAGTGAACATGTAAGCATGTCAACACTGGCAGGGATCTCCACACGGCTGCTCCAGCACCCAGGGCTGCATTCGGGCAGGTCCATGTGGCTTCTCCTCTGGGATGTCTTGCAGAAAGTAAGCCTTGCAAGCTGAAGCAGGGACCTGACTAAGGCAG